AGCCGTTGTACGCTCCGGCCTTCTTCAGGTGATTGGAATGTCGAACTGAACCCTTTATTTCGCTCGCTGTGGTAGACTGTTCTAGTTCCACGTTTAATGGATGTCAGTTATCAGTTATCTCCTGTTAATTTTCCCTCTGAAAGTTCTCCACTGCCTTAACCGGGTATTGAACTCACACTCTTAGGGTCTGTCACTGGATCTAACCAACGCCTTTATCCACTGTGCCATGTGTCCTTGAGGATTATAGACAGATACTCCACAAGCATGAATTCTACTTGCTTAACAATCGTAGAATAACGACCGAAAAAGGTGTGAATTAAGACCACAACAATAATAATTAAAAATATGATATTTCTGATATGCAACATATTTGATTGGGTCAATTGTTGGCTACACGTCTCGCATATATATATATATATATATATATATATATATATATATATATATATATATATATATATATATATATATATATATATATAAATATATATATATATATATAAAAAGAAAGAACAGTAAGATATATAATCCGGTGTTCTTATAGATATTTTTATTTTACAAAAAAAAAGCTCAATATAACTTTACAGAGCATTAATATTGGAAACGTGAATTATGATTTTGCTGTGTCTTTAAAACCCAGTAATTTTAAAAGTTACTCAAAACTCGCTTGAGGATGAAATGGAACTAATGTCTTTAATTTAATTACAAAATTAAATTCAAGCTTTCAGCTTCCATTTTGAAACATGGTTAGAACTGTGTAGAAAAAAAACATATTTTAAATCAATTAATTTATAATATATATATATATATATATATATATATATATATATATATATATATATATATATATATAAGCGTCTTTTTTCATTGACTCACGAAGTGATAAATCATCTAAAATGGCTAGCCAATCGTATCCGAGGATGCCCGTCTACTAGGGCAGCTAGCTAATCCCTGCTGTAGACGCCTGCTCAGGCACATTTGTGTTTGTTCAACATCCACAGAGCCCACTTGTGGTTTATACAGAAACTATACTGAGCAGACCTTAGTTACAGTTTCTGGGAGACAGAGAGAGAGAGAGAGAGAGAGAGAGAGAGAGAGAGAGAGAGAGAGAGAGAGAGCATTATCTGGCGTGATCAACCATGTGAACAAGGCGAGCATGCTGAAACCAAGGATAAAACAACCCATCATAAGCATGTTTCTTATTTCCGAGTAATTTTGCTTGCTTAACAATCGTAGAATAACGATCGAAACAGATGTGAATTAAGGCCATAAAAATGAATTAAAAATACTAGTAAAATACGAAATCATGAAGACATATTAACAACTTCGAATATTATGAATCAACAACCATTCAGTAAGCCTCTGCCTTGAGTTACTCTTGGGCAGATTGGATGCACAATAGCGTACAAAAAATCTATTTGTTCATTTCTATTTATAAATAGACATATACATCTATATGCAGTGTCCGTTCAGGACGGGAGATATCGTGGCGTTTTGCAGCTTCCTATCATGTGTGGCTCTTACTTAGTTTTTAATTTTCAGTATCACTTCAAGAACCTACTCTGCCAAGCATTTACAAGCTTTTTAGGAAGCTTACGCATTGTTCCCTTCTGTCCATTTCGCTTTCAATGTATACATGTGAGTGTCATTTTCTCCAAGCAGTCTTTCCGCAGTATGTGCACGAGAAATTTCAACTATCACGTTCTGATACTAAATAAAAGCGAGTTTTATGTTTCAATTTTCTGTAAAGCTTTCTCGTTTTGCGCATGCTCTGTAAATGCTATGCTCAGTATTGTTGAATAGGTCTGGGGAGAAAATGAAGTTAACTCAGTGTTAATATAATAATTAAGTAATAATATTATTAATAATAAGTAATAATGTAATGGTTAATAATAATATAATCAATTTTAAGCACCTGGTCTTAAGCTTATGGTTAACCTGGATATACAATGAATTTGTCAAATTACATATTTACTGTTTATTTTCAATCATTTCACCTCCCTCCAAAGTAAGGCCGTAAAGCCACTAAGCCACAAAGGCTGAGAAAGAATAACAAAAATAGAAACATTCTTAAGGAGCGAGAACAAGAAGACCAATCAATAAGACAGTAGATAACGATTGATATTGCATTTATATTTTTGAAGATCAAAGTTGTCGACAGAGAGTTCCACAGGTGAGAAGTGCGAGAGAAGGAACTGCTAGCATAGAACTTACGGTTACATCTACCCAATTCATCTTTAAATTGATGAGGCCTTGTTGCCGATCTAGTACTGCATCTATGTACCAGAGTGGAAATTTCATTCGGGCAATTAGGATGGAAATATTTATAGAAAAGGCATAGGGAAGCTACATTTCGGCGGTGGGAAAGTGACTGAAGCTGTGATGCCAGGTTAGGACCAATAATATTGCTGGTTCTTGTTTGGATTTTTATTAATAATCTCTAAATATATAGCAAAAACACCGAACTATTGTGTCAAATTTTTAGTTGCAAACTAGTGTTGTAGCAGAAGTAGAACGATTAATTTAAAAAAGGAGAATCATATACCCGAACCCCGTAGTTGGGGGCAAAAATAACAAAATTAGTGGGTGGATCTTTCATTCCTACCTTATAAAATCCATTTACTAAAAATATGGTGCGCAGGCAGAATTGCTCATTTGATTCTGGATCTTGAATTTTTCTTTAATCAGTTCAGTAAGGAGATAATGCCACTAAGACGCAAGAAGATATTAGGCAAGCTTGGCCCACCAGTTTCATGCATCTTGTGGCAATTAGTAAGATTTGTTTTTTTCACCACCCGCACAAGTCACTGGTCTTTAGATAGGTCTTACTTGCTTCCAGTATTTACTGTGTGTGTCTAATTCTCCCAGCCCTCTTTCCTCATTAAAAAAATCAACTATTTCTTTCTGATTTTAAGTATGTGTTCTTTTTGTTTTCATTTTTCATAAAACCTTATTTCATGAAATTTAAGTTGTCAGATCACATCATTTAAATGTTTAAATTGTTAGATGCAACCGTAAGTTCTATTCTAATAGTTTCTTCACTTGCACTTCTCACTTGTGGAACTCTCTTCCACCTTCTTACTTTCCTTTCAAATACAATTTTGGAAAAATTTAAATGCAACGTCAGTCACAACCTTTTGTCTTTTTAAATTCTGTTTTTTTTATTGTTCTTTCTACTCATTAACCTTTTCTGTTTTGTTTACTTTCAGAAGCTTCGAGGGTTTTAGTCGCTCTATCGCCTTCCTCATATTGAAATGATTAAAGACAAAACAAGAACTGATAATATATATATCATCATTTACAGACAGACTGTTTCGCAGTTTATCAGTGTGGCTAGACGTCTGGTTGCCTCTGCCTAGGATCGAAACCCGACTGAATTGGCGTTAGTCGGGGGGATGCTACCACTAAGCCGTCGGAAAAATATGAATATATATATATGTATATATATATATATTCCACCTTGATGTTGGTTTTTTTTCCCATCCCCATTTTTGTTGAATAAATATTTACCCCCCACTCCACCCACTTAAGTTTGTGTTTGTGGTTCTTTGTTCACGTGGTATGATTTTAGATATCGCCTATAAATATGCTTTTCTCTTTGCCTCGTTAGCCTTACTTTCCCTGACGATCCGTTTAGGTGAAACCTAGGTAGGTTTGTCTGGCTCACTAGGTGTATCTAGGTCTGCTCTACGGTTGTATTGAGCTCTTTTGTTAGTTAGTTGTTTACTCGTATCAGGGTTTTTTCTTTGGGCTTCATGTTTGTAGCTCTTTCTTTTTTTAAAACCTTTTTTTCCCCTCGAGATTGATTTGATTATTAGCAGATCAAAAATTCGAGGGTTTATATATATATATATATATATATATATATATATATATATATATATATGTGTGTGTGTGTGTGTGTGTGTATATATATATATATATATATATATATATATATATATATATATATATATATATATATATAAATTAATTGATTTAAAATATGTTTTTTTTCGCTACACAGTTCCAACCATGTTTCAAAAATAGAAGCTAAAAACCCCAATTTAATTTTGCAATTAAATTAAAAGCATTAGTTACTGTTCTTTCTTTATATATATATATATATATATATATATATATATATATATATATATATATATATATATATATTAAAAAAGTGATGAGGAAGTGGAAAATGTTTTCGTATGACACGTTTCATTGGACTAAATTGTTGTTTACGCAGGTGGAGCTACACATTAGCACAGAGGAGAGGGGACAATGACAATTCTAAATTTAATTTTTTTAAATATATATTATCAAATG